ATAATAACTAAATTTTGATCCCTGAAATTTTCGGTAATACCAATGTTCACTTTGTCTGGTTTTGTTGCAGTATGCCCATATTATATTTATTATATGGGTAAAACTTTTAATTTTTTGATATTTTGATTGTATACTAAAATGGGTAAGAGGAAAAATGATATTTGCTTAAAAGGGTAAAAAAAAAATATGATGTTATCCATCCGTAGATGTTATTTCCTTCTAAATGACATATATCCAAATTTAGATGGTAATGTTGATTGATGATAAAGATGTTTATTTATCGTGTGTTATAGTGAAGGTCCTATACTCAAAAGTCAATCAGGGTGTATATATCACGTTACAATATCAGATTTAACCTATTTGATACGTGTAATGTGATACACCCGCGCACAAAAGTTTCTTCTGAAATGGGGAAAAAGAAATGATTTTGTGGTGCTACAAGAAGTTTGTGATACAAATCAAAATTGCGTGCTTTTAACAAAATTATGTAATATATAATAATTAATTAATTAATATATAAAAAAAATGGGAGCTTTTTGAAAAAGTTGCTTGTAAATTCAACACTCTTTGTTAAAATATAAAAGCCGCACGGCTTGAAATGGGCAACCAAATATAGTCAATTGCAATATGAGCAAGTATTGGGAGATGTTTGATAAATAAATTTTACCCAGTCAGTAATATGCAAGTCATCATCATAATAATTTTTACAAATGACTTTTACTTATTACACACATATGTATTATACTATTTTTTTTTAAAAGTTAAATGCGGTTTTTTTAATATATATATTTATTTAATAGTAATGCACATGATTCAATAAGTTTGTCATGCAGGGGCGGCGGACACATGTGAAGGACTTATCGAGTAAAACCGACTTCCATATAAATTTTTATTTAATTACTAAAACATAATAATAAATGTTTAAAATAACGTATATAATTATTTGTCTAGGTTGTTTTAAAGGACATCTATAATGGTCAATGATTATCACATGACTTTTAAAAGCTTATAACTCCTTATTAAAAAAGAAAAAGAAAAAAGAAAACCTATAGAATTAAAGCTAAAGACCTAAGCTTCATTTCCATCGGTTTATTTTTTTCTTTTTATTAGAAAATTTTTGAGTTATAAGGCTTCAAAGTGAGGCCATTTTATATATGTCTATATGTAAATTGTAAAAATTTCGGAAAAATTTTTCATGATACAGAAAATCTTTCCCAAAAAGAGATCTAATTACTTAATTAGAAAGATTTTTTAAAATTTTAAAATTCGGACTGCGACATTTATAGACGAATCATAATTTGATGTTCAAGTACATTTCCGGCACTACTGAGTTATTTTACTCGTATCGGAATTTTGAATGCTCTATATATATATATAGTTGCTAGTCGACTAACCGTAGTCGCGACTAGAAATTTCCAAGTCAACCAAGTCGTGACTAGGTTTCACTCGTGGCTCAAACCTAGAAAAAAAATTTAATCGGCTAGCCCCGACGCGCGACGCTTGCAATGCGAAGATGATTTAATTGATGTTATTATGCAAAAATTTTCACAATTAATGAAAAACGAAGTTCGGAATTTTAAGTGCATCATCATTTACTGACATGAGAAGAAGAAAATCAGTAACTTTTTCCTGAATTAAATTAAATTATTTCAGATTTATTTAATTGATTGAAACATTCCAATAATTGAAATTTTAGTTATTTGACAAAAGCTGACACTATTATTACTTTCGCCAATCAGAAATTGCAAGCAAGCCATAATCTGATAAATATATTAATATGTAAAAAATCGGTACCCGATTTATGTCACAATCTCGTAATTTTTTACTTTGTAAAAGCCTCACTTTGTGATCTGATCTTGGTGATAAAATTTTACTTTGAAAAAAAAATATAGGACATTATAGATTAATATTTTATTTTTGTACATTTCCACAAAGTTAATGTTTTTGTAATACGATAAATAAAATAAATAATAAAATAGGCTGTGAGTTTCCCCCATGACATCAAAAATGATTATCTTGTAGGATAACAAAAAGTGATCAAATTAAATTATGTATTATGATAATGACCAAGATTGTGTCAACCCAAGCGCGAGAATTTATATTCTATTTGTTCCGTTCTCTTAAAATTTTATTCCAGGTTTTTTTATTTTGGATATCTATTTTGACACCTTTGGCATCTCCCTCAATTCTGTAATACAAACCATTGAAGTAGTATTTTTTTACTATCCTTTGAATACTTCCAAGTGAATTTAACGTCAGTTGCCGTTCTAGTCCAGAGTTTTCATATCCTTTTGTATGGACAGAATATATTATGTTATTATTACCATTGTTGTTTTACACAGGATGTAAAACCACGTGTAAAACCTCACGTATTTCTGAAGAATCCCTCGCAAATCTGCCGATATAATCATTACTAGGACAAGGTAAACCATTTACATCAAGGTTTGAATAATAATCATCATCCCAAGTACTTTATATCAACAGATGTTGTTTTTTCATATCTGTTGATGTCAAAAAAATCAATTTAAGTTGATAAATTTTGTTCTTTATTTAAAGAAAGGTAGATTGTATACTTATCAACGCAAAGTATTTCTCCCTAATATTCTAACAAAGGTTTAAATTTTCCATTGCGAGCTTATTAACATAATTCTTTTAACAAATTATACTGAAATATTTATATCTACATAAAAGTTGGTTTTCTCATTCTTTTAATTTTCAACTGATTCATTCATTTTAATCAATCAGCAGAAGTGATGAAATTAAAAATATTTTAAATTATTATTCTCATTATTTTGATATAGATAGATGTCTACTAATTGTGGTGCCTCTGTAAAGGATGTTAGTCCTCATGAATTTGTAAAAGTATATGTAGACTTTTAAAAAAAATCAGGAAAATTAGAAATACCTAAATGGGTAGATCTAGTAAAAACAGGTCCGTATAAAGAGTTGGCACCCTATGATCCGGATTGGTTTTATATCAGAGCTGGTAAAGTGATTCATTATTAATTAATTTATGCTTGGTTAGATAGGCTCTAATCCTTGAATTTAAAATGAGTGGATTTCAATTGTGAATTATTATTTAGCTTCTGTTGCTCGCCATATTTATTTACACTCCAGTGTTGGTGTTGGTGCATTGAAAAAGCTTCATGTGGTCGCAAACGTAGAGGTACTCGTCCCTTTCATCATTCAGATTCATCAGGAGCCGTTGCTCGCAATGTTCTTCAATCTTTGGAGGAAATTAAAATTTTGGAGAAAGATCCTAAAAAAAAGATTTATTTAAGATTAGTGATAAATTTTTTATTAATTTATTATTTTTAAAAAACAATTATTCTTTTTTATTATAAAAAATAGCTGTCGAAGGATTACACGGGATGGATAACGTGATCTTGATCGTATTGCTCAAGCTTGTCTTAGAAAAGAAGACGACGACGAAGAAGAAAAAGTAGAAGCTGGAAATGATTAATATAATGATTGATTAATTTTATTTGCCAATCAAATGATCGTAATAATAAAGTTATATTCGAATAATTACCAACAAACAATATCAATTGACTTGTCTTAAAAAAAAATCTAATCCGAATTTATTATAAATAATCCAAAATCAAATCATTACTATTATATCTATTAATTAATTTTACGAAGCCATCTAATAATAATTGTTTTACTCCTCAAACTTCACCAACATAAGAACTATTGACTTTTGAAATTTTACCGTTGATCTCTGATGATGTACTGCTTTACCATCAAGTAATGAAGAAATAAAAGATCTTATAAAAAAAAATAATTATAAATAGTTGTCATGATCGTTTAATTCGAATTGGTGAGAATTTTAAATGCCAAAAATTATTTGATACGATTAATTAAATATCTTTTTACAATCACTTTAACATATAAAAAGAAATTTTTTTTTTAGTCAACGTACGCAAGCAATTTACAATAATTTGATGCTCGTCAATTAATATTTCATATTTACCAATTATATTTGGTATTCTCTTGCTTACTGTCTCCTCCTTGCACCAAGAAAGATTCCGCGAATCTTACATGATAACTATAAAATACGGCTCACTTATTTACTTATGACTGGTTTATTTCAGTCCTTTGCATTTATTGGCTGACACATTGATTTGTTTACAAAACTCTTGGTAGCTTGTTTAACAGCTATACTTTTTACAATAATGATGATACCGGTATGAACCTAATGTTGAATATTTAGATATGAAAGAAAGAAAGTGTATTTGTTAGTTTCCTCAGATTACGAAAAAAATATAACTATAACAACATATATGTATATTCCTTAATACCTGGAATTGATCAAGAGCACTGGGGTTGATGACATGGGAAAAGATACTTTTCTCATAAAATCCAACGATTGGTGATGTGAGAAAAGTGAATGCGAAATTAATGGTGTCATCAATATTCAAAAAGATTGCAAATTTTCTCGCAAATCCATTATTAGCTATAATATCTCAGGTTCCCGAAAGGAGGTAGATACCATTTACAGAAGATCCCAATCGTAAAAAGAATAGATAATAAGCAAAAGGAAGCGAAAGCACAAAGAAAAAGAAGTCGTTGTTTTTGGCTTGTTAGACTATTGAATAAATAAAAAAAACTATATCAGAGAATGCCAACTGAAGATTGAACTCAAAGAGCGGTGGATATATACATAGGCCCTCAATCACAACCCTGATTTAGTGACGATTGGTTGGTTCTCAACAAAACCGGCTCGTAAAATCAAGCCTTCTCATTTTTGCGCCGACGCAAATATGTTTGGATTGCGATCCTAAATAGATAATCGCCATCAACGTTCTGATGAGATAAATTTGGTAATTACTAAATAATTATTTACATTGAGCTCCAATGTGAAGGAAGGGTCTTATTTTATCATGCATTGTGAGTTTATCATTAACTTCATTATATAGTGCATATCCCTGTCGCAGTAATTTTACTGGCCTTGAAAGTCAAGACTTTTTTTACAAAGTTATGATTTTATTTTGTTGGTACTTAATATGCACTATTGTACTTTGGCTACGTGGTCCGTTACAGAAAAAGTTAAAATTGCTGTCTAGGCACCAAATTAAGAAAAATCAACATTTTACACGAATTTAACTTTTATAAAATTTTAATTCAAAGAAAAAAATTGTCATTTCAACAATTATTATCACCAGATAGAAAAGGATTTGTACAAGAACTTTTAATGAAATTTATGTTCATGAGAACTATTTAAATGAAACTGGTAGAGAAACTGAAAAAATATGTATTTATCATTGGTAAATGAAAATAAAGAAATGAAAAAGATTGTAAAGAACCGGGGTTTCCGATAAATCCGGTTGAAATGATAGTAATAGTAATGTTAATGGTAATAGAAATAGCAAAATTATTATTTGTTGGAAATCGGTTTTTTCGAGGTGATCTATTTTAAAACGATTTCGTCAACTGTCGAACGATTTGGCTATATCTTACGGGTCTGATTCATTTCGTCGACAGTTCATATGATTTTAGGGTAACATATGCATTGATTATAATTATTAATATAATTTGTTTAGTTGTTAATCCTGATTGAATCTAGGAATCACGATTTCAGAAGCATCAGGAAATTTGGATCCTAATTAGTTTGCATATTAATGACTGAATTTCATGCATCTTAAAAGAATCATCATCAGAAAAATAAATATTTCCTGAATTTTGATTCAAACGAAATCTCAATACTATTCATTAACATATTGCCAATTTTTCTGATTCAAACTACGGTCAAACCTCGTCACAGCGGACCTTGCCATAACGGATTTCTTGTTACAACGGATTTAAATTTTGTCCCCTTTTTTACTAATTAAAAATATTTGATACAGAGGATTTTATTAATAAATTCGTGCCATAGTGTCAACGGATTTTTGATTGGAAACCTTCTATATGACTACTAATCCTACCACAGCGGATTCACGTGACATAGAAATTTATAAAATTATCCGAATTACTAACAAAATTTTCCAAGTTTCTAAAATAATTTATAAGTAACAAATAATTAAATAGATTGTATGTTCAAATATTTGCAAGTAACAAAATAACCAAATATTTCATCTTATTTCAAAAAATAGATTTTTAATTCCTGCATTAGTATCATTTGTTTTAGTTCTGTAATCGTTATTATTTAACATATAATTAACATATCAGATATCAGATATTAAAAAAAAATTTTGTCGATCATGATCATCACAACGGATTTTTTGGCTGGTCCCATCAATCCGCTGTGACGAGGTTTGACTGTATTAATAACAATAATTATCATCAATTATTATAATTACCAAAATAGTCAGTGACAATATCATCACATGTAAACTAATTGTTTGTCGACGAAATGTGTGTCGACGAAATGTATGTCGATGAAGTAAACGCGACCGGTATCTCTTATTTACCAGGGCCGAAAAAGTCTATTGAATGCAATTGTAAAGTTAACCAACCAACCATTAAAGTTTTTTTGTTTATTATGTTACTTAGTCCAAAAAATTAATATCCGTTTTTAAAAGTATCGTGTTTCTATTCGTAATACAATTTCTTATTCGTCTAATCGTTTGAATTATTAGATTTTGTTCTTGAAATCTTCATTTTATTCAGTTTGTTCGAACTTCTGAGTAATTATGTTCTTCACTTACATCAATATCATCATTAGAACATTTTTCATGGATAGATGAACGAGACCCTTGGTGAGGAATAATAATGCAAATTTCAATGAAGAAAATTAAACAAATCAGATGATATATCGATAAGTTTAATAATGATTGGAGTTAAATCATCGAGAAGAGAAATTAAAAGGCAACAAGATAAAGATAATGCTCTAAAAATGAGGCAGTTTAATTATTTCCAAGCATGCAACAAAAAAAATCATTGAAGAAATCAAGAGAAAATAATCAATAATAAAACTACAAATATTTGCTTTGATTACTGATGTATGTTAATGGTTTAAGTATTTTGGTTATACCCACCCTAGACAAAAGTTTTCGGACTTCTATTTACATTAATTACTCAAAACATACATAATAATTAAATATCCAGTTTTCTTGCAGCTTAGGTTTTGTCGAATATAATTACATATTAATATCTTTTGTCAATAAATAAGGGTCACATGATTGGTATACCAAAGGGCTGGAAAATACGTGTTTAGGAATGGGAGGAGGGTTCTCAAATTTTGTACATCACCCCCCCATTTACATTAATATTAATATGAATTCTTAATTACGTATTTTATGGCCCAATTTTAATATATAGTAAACCCCGTTTCTAAAAAAATACTTTGTGCTAATTATAATGATTTTTTTATAACACACACACATATATATATACCTATTATATTATAACAAAAATTACAATGTTTTATATTTTATTATAACATATATAACGTCTATAACAGTGTTGTGACCCGAAACTCTGAGTTTAGGGAAAACCCGAAACAGAAACTAACAGAAACCACCCGAAACTAGTTTAGGTTAGTAGTTTATGTTTATGTTTATGTTTATGTTTATGTTTATGTTTAGTTTTAGTTTTCTGCTTAGTGTAAGTTCATTTTCCGAAACGTTTCGGGAATCCAAAAGAGTTTCTGGTCACAACACTGGTCTATAATATTAAAGCTTCTTTGTATACAATGTTCCGCGTATAAATCCAATCTTTGCCTTGTAATATCCCATTCTTCACAAATACCTTGAGATTACATTCTTTACGTATTCTTGACATGGCTACGTACAACTGTTCACGAATGAAGACAGGTTGTGTAAGATACAAATCAATATGAGACAGTGTTTGACCTTGGGATTTATTTATGGTCAAGACAAATGCTGGTCGTACATGAAATTGTTCTCTTTTCAGCACAAAGGGCAACCCAGTATCTTCATTTGACATGAGGGGAATCCTGGGTATGGATACACGTCTGCCTTGATAGTCCCCTGTAATTATTTCAGCATCAATTATTCGTTTCCACTAAACTTATTATTATCATAATTGCGGATCATTCCACTAACAGTTATCATATTACACCAACTGCCTCATTCCATTAGTAAAAAAAAAAAACCACCAAAAACGGTTAATGTATCACACAATGAACCAAAGTTCATAGACTGAGTTGCGTAATTAGTAAATATAAATAATTAATTTTTCGTTCATTAATTTTTTTTAATAATAATTTTAGTAATATTATAATTTAGTAATTTTTAGTATCGAAAAAACATTACCATTAAAACATAGTACTTAAAATTGACCAATAAAATCACAAAAAAGGGACAGACACTAAATAAAAGATGTCATTTAATAAATCATTATTGCCAAACAGAAGGGAATTCGTATATAAAATTTATAATGAAATGAACAACAATGCTCTGATTAATTTTGATAGAGAAAGTAGAAATGATTATTTTTTTTCATTAGTCAAAAAAAAAGTGCAACTTTCTGAAAATGAGAAAGAATATTGTAAAGAAAAGTATATTTATGATTTTGAATTACAAAATGCAAGTGATAAATTGGGCCAATCAAGAGAATGTAACAAGTGTAAATCAACAAAATACTCTGATAGGTTCTGTGAAGGTTGCATTAGCTTACAATTACAGAGTCATTTCACTAATTGGACATCTGGAAATAACATAGTTGATAATTTTATTCAACAATGTCAAATGAAATCATCTCTGCCAAACTATATTTTAGAATGGATACCTTTTGAGCAA